TAGACTGGAGAAGGACGTTATAGAAGTTACGGTTCCAGGGCTCCCTGTGAGAGGGCAGAGCTTGTCACATCTGTGCCTGAGCTGCTCTGCATATGCAGTACCTGTTCAGCAGGTCCTGTTGATGGATCGAATCTTTGGCTAATAGGAATAATATTCTAAGAATCCCACTGGCCTGGGTTTGTTTTTCTGCCAAAGGGAGCTATCATTAGCATTTGAGACAAATACCCAGGCAACATCTCCAAAGTGTACCTCCATCCATCTGGGTTCACAGGAGGAAGGGTGTATGCTGGCTTATGGAAAGCATATGACTTACACTATGTGCCTGGGGCTCTCCAAAGGAGAATGCAGCTTGGAGGCAGCATGAAAGGGTATGTACCAAACATCACCAGGTCAGGTGCACCACATACATGATTCCACTGTCACACTCACAAGCATCCTGCAAAGCGTTGTTTTCTGAATTTAAAAAAAAAAACTGAGCTTCAAAGAGGTTAGGTACATTCATAGCCAGTAAGCAGCAAGGTTGAAATCTGTCTTTCAGGTGCAAAACTATCAGGAATATAAATCAAAAGGACAGGTTAGGTCATAAGGAGACTATAAAGGTGATGATGGACTCATCTCTTGATATTCTAGGGTCTCTCTCCATTGTAACATATTAAAATTCTGTCACTCTGTCTGTTACTACTTTCCCTGACACCTTTCCAATTTGTTCTGCTGTTTAATTTATGAGAACATGTATGTGTCCGTAAATTGTACATTAGTGGGTTTCTCTGAAGACAAAGATTATATCATTGTCAAGCTTTGATTTCTCACAATGTTTAACACCTTGCTGCTCTAAATGTAGCTAAGTTTTTGTTTTTGTTTTCTGAAAGCAGGAGTGGGAAGAAACAATTCAAGTATGGAAGCTAAGGAGAAAATGCAAAAGAAAGGAAGAAAGGAAGGAAGGGGAAACATTAAAATGTGTTTTATTACATCACAAGACTCATTTCAGATGTAACAAAAGCAGGCCAGGTGCAGTGGCTCAAGCCTGTAATCCCAGCACTTTGGGAAGCCAAGGAGGGTGAATCACGAGGTCAAGAGATCGAGACCATCCTGGTCAACATGGTGAAACCCCGTCTCTACTAAAAATACAAAAAATTAGCTGGGCATGGTGGTGTGTGCCTGTAATCCCAGCTACTCAGGAGGCTGAGGCAGGAGAATTGCCTGAACCCAGGAGGCGGAGGTTGCGGTGAGCCGAGATCGCGTCATTGCACTCCAGCCTGGGTAACAAGAGTGAAACTCGGTCTCAAAAAAAAAAAAAAAGATGTAACAAAAGCTTCATTATTTGTTCACTTTTTGCCTTTAAGTGCTGATTCCTAAAAATGACCAAAAGCATTAAAACATGAAGAATTAGGAGCCTCCCGAATATCAAACTGGGGATGAAAATGTCAAATCTTTCAAATTAGAATGAAGTCCAGGAAGAAGACAGCATTTGTTCTAAAGGGTTACATCTTTGAAATCACCTTTGTAGGTATACATTTATCCTACAAAGCAAGATGCCTCTGGAGTGCAAACACGCTTTTCCCAGCTTCAGGGAAACCACTCAGCATGCCACAGCCCCTGGAGGTGCCTGTTCCCGCCATTATCACTGCCTCCACGCAGAGCAGCCTCTCCAGGACAGATGCTAACAATCGATGGCAGACACCTCACACTTAAATCCATCAATGAAAAGACTGTTACAATAACAGCAGTGATTTTAAGTGGCTACTGATTTCTTTGGGGCCTCCCAAACCCAAAGGTAAGAAATAATAACAGGTCATTTTTCATCAAGACAGACAACGCAGAAGGATGATTGGAGCAGAGGTGCTTCCCATGAACTGTGCTGCCCAGGCCAGCACTGCCAAGAAAAGGAAAAATCCCGCCTCCCGAGAGGCTCCTGTTTTTAGGCTGGTGAAAAAAGCAATAGGAATCCTCACAACACAATAGTCAAGACAGCACCAGGTAATACCACATTGATGGGCAAACCCATCGCTGTTATTTTATCTAAGTCTGCAAATAAGGTTGTGGGACTGGTAAAAGGATAACTATTATTCCTCCCACTTCACAGACAGACAAGAGACTCATGGGAGCGAGTGGCAGAACTAAGGGCTGGAACACAGAGCTTCTTCCTCGTCATCCAGAATTTTTTTTATCTACTTTTTTCTCCCTTGAATTGAACAGCAAGGAGACAACCCAGTGATATAGATCTAAATATTAATGGAATCAAACCAAATTGTGTTTTAGAAGAATATTTAATGACCTGGGGAAATGTTTACAATACAAAGTGAAGTTAGACAATAACTATGTGTGCACGTGTGTTATAATTCTGATGGTGTAAAAATTTTATGTAGACATATACATACATTGTAGATCAACCAGAAAGTACCTCTGGATATAATGAATGACAGTGACTTATTCCTTAGGCTTTCTTTTATGTTATACATTTCTTACATTCTACACATATTTCTAATGTCTCTAAAAGTTAAGTTGAATATATAATTTGAATTAATAATGCATATGTGTACAAATACACACCCACATACAAGTCCAAATTAGATCATCTCAAGGGAAGAATGTTTCCTTACTTTTTCTCTTGCTTTCTTTTATGGAGGACATAAAACCAATCAGTGATCAAATCCAAGGTCCATGCTAGACTACCAACCTTATGACCTAAGTCAAAGGCTTCATCTCTCTGAGCTCACATTCTTCATCTACCAAAAAAGAGACATATTCCTATTTATTGACTAATATGGATTTGAAAAAAATAAATGGAGAATCAAAATTTTGTACCATGAGTCCAGATGTACAGGCAAACAGGAAGCCAGTATGTGATGAGAGAGGGGGATCCCTGCTCTTGGAACCACAAATTTATTCAGAATGTCTTCCTGTCTGCACCAAGCTGTAGGCTGAAGCAGCCCCCGTGATTATCTCTTGCTAATCAAATGGGTGCCTATCTAGGGAGGCAGATGTAGTTCTGGTGGAGGGGTGGGAACCTCTAATTGCAGGATTTACATGAGAGGAGATTCCCCAGAGGCAGAAAAACAGACAGTGGAGGAGACACCACAAGCTATTTCCTCAAGCAGAAAAAGACAAGGAAGCCTTGGGAAGAGGCTGCCCTATTTCTGGCCCTCAGGGTCTTTGTAGGTGGGAAAGGAAGTTAAACTGGGACTGGGTGACGAGGGCTTGAATGAAATTTAATGTAACTTTATTGAACAGCTACTTTCTGCAAGGCATCATGGGCCTGGAAAGGGGGAAAATGCAACAGCAAAGAGTTCAGAAATAAGATTTTTCTAGCACCTAGTGTGTGTCAGGAAGTCTGTTAGGGTCTTCATTTAAATGATCAAGTTGAATCTTGAAAAATAATTTGTGAGGTAGTGATTAAATAGGCAATATCAGGCACACATTAAAAAGAGCCTCCTAGAATAACTGCAGGTCTGCAAACATGCCTTGCTTGCCTGCACTTGGCTTTCTTTTCAACTTGGCTTCCTTACAACATCAGTGCTTTTCCTTTTACCTAGGATGGCCTTCCCACCCTCCCGCTTGAGCAACTCCTTCAGGACTTAGTTCAGCTGCCACTTCCTCTTAGAAACCTTCCTGTACCCCTCTACTCTCAAGCTAGTTGAAATTCTAAACTTCTATTGCACTCTGCATTATTTTTTTAATTTTGTGTTTGCTTGTCTGCACCCCCCACTACATTGCACATGTTATTTTGTGGGTTTCGTTGCTGTTGTTGTTTAGTTTGTTTTCCCCTACCTTTAGAATCTCCGGTGCCAAATAGAGTGCCCAGAGAAAAGAAAGTTTTCAATAAATAAATGTGTGTACTCTAAATAAGAAACTGGCCAGGCAGGATGGCTCACACCTATAATCCCAGCATTTTGGGAGGCCAAGGTGGGTGGATCACCTGAGGTCAGGAGTTTGAGACCACCAGCTTGACCAATATGGTAAAACCTCGTCCCTACTGAAATTACAAAAATTAGCTTTGTGTGTTGGTGGGTGTCTGTAATCCCAACTATTTTAGGGAGGCTGAGGCAGGAGAATCCCTTGAACCCAGGGGGCAGAGGTTGTAATGAGCCGAGATCACACCACTGCACTCCAGCCTGGGGAACATAGCGAGACTCCATCTCAAAAAACAAAAGAAGAAAAAGAAAAGAAAAAGAAACTGGATGAAGTCATGGAAAGAAAGCCAAGGATATATGGATAAATAAATGAATGAATAAATAAATGTGTGAATAAATACAGTAGTGAAAGAAAGTATGACTGTTTCTAATACAGCTCTGAATCTTATAGATACAGAAAGTCAAAAGAAATAAAAACCATGGGAACTGAGCAAACATGGCAAAAACATACAGGTCACAAAGACCAAAATCAAAATAATGCCTCATCCAGGAAAACCATGGCTATTTTTAGCCTGCGGTTTCCCAAAAACAGCATCATATTTCTTGCAATTGACCTGTACATTTTGAAAATTCCCAGTCATCCTGCCAATTTTGTATCTGGTGCATCCTTCGGGGGTCATGTAAAAGCTCCAGGCCCCCAAATTTGGAAGGGGACAAATAACCTTCTCCCCCAAATTTGGAAGGGGGCAAATAACCTTCTCTGATCCTTCTGAATCAAGTTGTGCATGCATGTGGCTTTCCAACTGATTCTGATCATTGGTTTCATTTACGATCAGTAATGGAAATTCTTGTACCAACAGTTAATAAGGTTGCTTTAAAAGCTAGATAAAATTTTTGTACCAAAGGGAAGGATATACTAAAGATAGTCTTCTATACCTCCATGAAATTTAGCATTTTTTGGTTTCACAGTAATACAACCAGCAACCATAAAACCGTATTTCATTTTTAAAAAATATCTTGCCATTGACAAAGAGATTTAAAGACATCATGTGCATGTTCTAATGTAATCTTCATGACACCCTTAGTGCAGTGGGTATGATCATCTTCCTTTGAGAGATGAAGCAACTTAGGTTCAATGAGATAACTTACTTTTCTTTTGTCTTAGCTCCTGAGACCCTTTGTGGATCTTCTTTCCTTTCCAATTCTCTTTTCTTCCACAGTAGAGACATGCTTACACATATCTGCTCCTCTCCTTCTGGACACATAGACTATTCTTCCTGGTCCCTTCTAGTCAGGAAGGGCCATGTTACTAATTCTGGTCAATGAGCTGTCAGGAGAAACACATGTCATTTGAGGATTTAAAGCATTTCCCTGCTGATGCAAGAGCCTCCAATACCCACTCCCACTCTCAAGGTCACATGTACCCTTCTTCCTCTATTGGAGTCTCATGTTGAGAAAGTGGAGCCACAAAACCAAGGCTGCCTGGGTAGCTGAGCTATGACCCTGAAGAGGGAAATAGATTTGACATGAATGAGAATTAAACTTTTGTGGTGTTAATCTGAAGGACTTTGGAGGTTATCTAGTAGTGCAATGTATCCCATTCTTATCTGACAAATGTAGATGCTCCTACGAAAAACTGCAAACCTACTTTTCAGCCTCCACAGCCCCCATCACTTAGGGTTTCTGCATCCACACTTTCCAGAGGTTTTTCCAGTTCTTGTTACTTAGTGCTCCCCTAGCGATCCCCTACAGAGCGTTAATCGTGGCTCTATAATCATCTTTGGAAGTGCACTTAAAATTTAGTTCCTGATCAATACTCCTCCCCTCAATGCCTCACTTATTCTCCTCTCCCCTGTGTCACTAAAATAAACAAGCTGGGCTATCCCCAGGTTGCTGTACTTGCCAGCTTCCTATCCATTTCACTCCAGACGCACTGACCTAGCAATTACAGAAAAGACTGGAGTCAGAAGATCTCTTGCAAATTTGAAGATTTTTGGAGCTGAAAGAAGTCATCCAGTGGTAGAATTAGGAAAATAGGGGATGGAATTTGTCTACTCCAATGCTTGCATACCCTCTACAGCAGAGTAGGAAGGTGACACTCAGTTTCCCACAGAACCACCTCTAGGGGCAGGGCGTTCACTAGCTCACAAAGCATTTCTTCCATCTTTGAACAATCTGACTCCAGATAATTATTTGTCTGCATATTCCACACAGGTCCCTGACTGTACCACTTGAGGGTCAAACAGAGAAATCCATTCTTCTTCCCCATAACAATTCTTTAAGAATTTAAAAACAGTTGCCAGGTCTTCCTCAATCTGCCACTGTTATCTACCCTTTTAGCTTAGGTCTTCTCAATTTTAACATAAGAAAAATAATTATTAAAGAGAAAAACACTTACTAAGAATGCACAGCTAGTCACTGAAGTTTCTGGCTCCCAATCCAGTGCTCGTTATACTTATTTATTCATCTTTTCATTCAGTAAATATTTTATAAGCATATAATATATACACAACGGTAACACAGGGATTACAATTTAAATATGATTCAACTCCTGCCACAGGAGAGCAAAAATTTTAGTAAAATGTGAGATGTGTGGACAGTTAGCTCCTGTAGTTAGAAGGAAGTAAAAAAAAATTCATTAAATGCTTTCTAAATGTCAAGCGCTACCAGGTGCTTCAAAATATCATTTCATTTAATTTTCAACTGCAGTCTGAGGTTGACAGTATCACACCATTTTGCTCATTTAAGAACTGAAATACTGCTCCAGACTTTGTTTTAATTGCTGCATAAAGGACCACCCAATCATAGTGGTATAAAACCATTCGATCATGCTCATGGATTCTGTGGGCCAGGAGTTAGAACAGGATACCACAGAAGGAGATTGTTTTTGCTCAAAGATACCTGGGACAGTGGGGAGGTCTCAAATGTCAGAGGCTGAAATCAACAAGAGATTTCTTTATGTACAGGTCCGGAACCTGAGGTGAGCTGACATTTGGGCTCAGCTGAGATAGCCTATCAGAGCCGCCTATCTATGTAGAGGTCTTTCTATGTACCTTAGCTTTCTGGTGGCAGCTGGGCTCTTCTGACAGTATCTGAAATCATGCAATCCCACTTCCATTATAGTCTAATTGGTTTAGGTACCTATAAGGAAAACATGGACTAACTCAGAAATTAGACTCCAGGCTGGGCACAGTGGCTCATGCCTATAATCCTAGCACTTCGATCACCTGAGGTCAGGAGTTCAAGACAAACCTGGCCATCACAGCGAAACCCCATCTCTACTAAAAATTAAAAAGTTAGCCACACATGGCGGTGGGCCTCTGTAATCCCAGCTACTCAGGAGGCTGAGACAGGAGAATTGCTTGAACCCAGGAGGCATGGAGTTTGCAGTGAGCCGAGATTGTGCCATTGCACTCCAACTTGGGTGAAAGAGCAAGACTCCGTCTCAAAAAAAAAAAAAAGAAAGAAAGAAATTAGACTCCAGTCCATAATGAGGAAGTAAAAAGGTCACACTGCAGAAGAAGCTGTGGTACCAGCCATATCACTGCAGCAAACACTGAAGGCTTAAGATCTGCAGCTGATGTCTGTTAAAGCAGGTTATGAATCCAGTCCACTTTGGTGCCAAGAGATTTTCTATGAAACTTCCGAAGATGGGTAGATCATTATGCTACTCAAGAAGGCTCCATGGAGGAGGTACCATTTGGAGTGGGCTTTGAAGGAGGGGAGAGATTTGCATGTGGAGCACTCTACACATGGGGTAAAGTGTGACTAAGTCATGGAGGCAGCATCTTGATCTTCCTTCACTGTCTTCAGGCTATTTTCTATTCCAAATAAAGAAACATAGATAATTATCCCCTCCCAACAGTTAACAGAAGCACCGGGCATAAGGAAGTTCTTGTGACTAAAAGCTGGCATTTTTGCCAGATGGCGACTTTTCTGGGTGACTATTGCGCATGACATAGGCCACTGAGCTTGTGACACAGCCCGGCCACAGGCAGACAGAGAGGACTGGGCTGAATGGAAGAAGAAGGAAGAAAATCTCACTTTGGGAGACCAAGAGTGGGCTGAAATCATCCATGATGAGGCAGAGTATGATGGCAGGTAGAACCCATTGCCTGTGAGCTCCTGGGTAATCAAAATTCGCTCAAAGAGCATTTGGAATGAAAATTTCAGATGTTGGCAACAGTGGACCCCGTACAGAGAGAGTCAGGCAAAAGGCAGGTTCAAGCCCAAATCATAGGAAAAGAGGCCTTCATGGGGATATTATGAACTACTTTGCATGGTACCATTCTACAAAGAATAGTTTTTCCCATTGCATATTTTAAACAAGTTGTTATTAGTGTATAAGAAAGCTGTAATTTTAGTACCCATATTTTTGAAAATGGTAATAACACAGAAAAAAAACATGAGCACAAAAATGCCAACAATTTTCAGTGTCCTCTATCATCAATTTCATCACCTACATAAGACATTTCCATAGCCACGGACACCTACACCATAACCTATTCCATTTTATATTTATTTCATTACTTGTTTATTAACTGTCACCCCCATGAGAATACAAGTTTCATACAGAAATCCGCTTAGTTATGTGTCCTCAGTATCAAGATAGTCACTTAATGTCATGGTCATGCTTGCATATGGTGTTCACTTAATATTTGTTAAGTAAGTCAGACCCTAGGGATAGGAGAGAAGGACTGACAAGCTGACTTCTACAGGCTTTTTCCTTGTTATGGAAGTGAACATCTGACCCTGTAATATCGTCAATGAGTAAAGGTTGGTTTTCTTACCATATACACCACAATTCCAAATTCTGTATGGGAAACTTGACTTCAGACAGATTTGAGATGCAATCTCAGGTCTTCTACTTAGTAGTGGTATGACCTTGGCCTGTCACTTAGCTTTCCTGAGTATTAATTTCCTTGTTTGGGAAAAAAAAATATTTTATCATAAAGCTAATATGAGGATCAAACCATGAAGGTATTTGCAGATGATGATGCAGTAAGGGCCTCAGACATCTGACTGGACAAACCTCAGGTTATTTGCTGCCAAGCTTGGACAAGGGGAGGAGAAGAACAAGGAAACTTACAAAAGGAGGCAAAGAGAAAGAAAAGAAAAGAAAAGAAAAAGCCAGCGCGGTGGCTCACGCCTGTAATCCCAGCACTACGGTGAAACCTCGTCTCTACTAAAAATACAAAATTTAGCTAGGCATGGCAGCACATGCCTCTAATTCCAGCTACTTAGAAAGCTGAGGCAGGAGAAATGCTTGAACCGGGACCTGGGAGGTGGAGGGTCCAGTGAGCCAATATTGTGGTACCGCACTCCAGCCTGGGCTACAGAGCGAGATTTTGTCTCAAAAAAAAGAAGAAGAAGAAGAAAAGAAGGGAACAAACAAGATAAACAGGAACAAGAGGAAGAGAAGGACAGGTGAGAGGAAAAACAGATACATATTTTAAAAAGAGGCCAAGTGTAGTGGCCAAGGTTTGCAAAGCCAAGGCAGGAGAATTGTATGAGGCCAGGAGTTCAAGACTAACCCGGGCAACATTGGAAGACCCTGTCACTACCAAAGTTTTTCTTTAATTAACCAGGTGTGGTGATGTGTGGTCGTGGTCCTACCTACTTAGGAGGCTAAGGTGGGAGAATGGCTTGAGCCCAGGAGTTTGAGTTTACAGTGAGCTATTATTCTACCACGGTAGTCCAGGCTGGGTGATGAAGAGAGACACTGCCACTAAAAAAAAGAAGAAGAAAATGAGATTAGAAAAGAAGTAAGTAGAACGAGGATCAGTGGTCAAAAGTAAGGAGATAAGGAGAAGAGGGAGACAAGAAGGAGGGGGAAGAGGGCAAAGTTGAGGAGTGTGAGGTAGGAAGAGAAAAAGGTAAGAAGAAAGAGAGAAAACACAATGAAGAAAGAAAGTGGGGGGAGAGAGAGGGGGGAAGGGAGGGAGGAAGGAAGGAAGAAAGGAAGGAGGGAGGGAGGAGGAAAGGGAGGGAAGGAGGGAGGGAGAGAATAGGAAATAGGAAACAGGAAGGAAAGGAAAGTTGGGGAAGACTAAGGAGGGAGAAGATAATTGGAAGAAAGAAAGAAATGGAGAGGACCCTGGCAGAAGGATTCCCACAGTTACTTTGGGATTCAGGGATTGCTAACTGGCCCCCAAATCCAGACTGTAGACCTCTCTGTGGGAATATTTGTCCCTTTCTCTGTCCATCCTTCCACAAAGAAGGCCATCCTTCCACAAGCCTCGGCCAGTCCTTCCACAAGGAGCTCAAGCCGGCCAGGATGCAGAGCCAGGGTCCCAATAGAAGCTGGAACTCACTCCCCTGAACTAA